CAGTACATGACCGGTACAACTCAAGGGTTCTGAAACATGCAGGTCGGATAACAGCTGAACCCTCTCACCCTGATCATGGACTTTTGAAACCCTACCGACAGGGTGGAGGTTCAGGTCCTTACAGACTAGAACCTCACGCCACAAAAACAGCTTCTTCCCCTTCGCTGTAAGGCTCCTGAACAACCGACGAATGGCCAAAACACACACAAATGCCCCGGTCACGCACATTTCTACGCTTATGATTGCTTTCTGTCTATGTTTCTTTTCTTATTATTTGATGTATCCTAATGTAAATACTGCCTGACTTGACTTTGACCTGAATGTATGTTTGCACCTTGCCACCAAAACAACTTTCTATAGATGAGCCTCTCACCTACATGGAAATAAATCTGATTCTGATTGTGATTTGTGAGGCCGTTCACATTCTGACTGATATTTGACATCGAACTCTCTCCAGTGTGAAAGCTCTGCGACACCAAAGTGACCCGAATGAAACCAGGAGCGGCGGAGTTGAAAAAAATGGATCTGTGTGTTCAGACTGTCATAAAAAAAATCTGATATGGCTCGCATGTTGGGAAAAAAGCAGATTTAATGAGCTTTTGCCTGCAGCCTGAATGTAGCCTTAAGGTTGGGTTATGCTTGACGCGTCCGCGAGGTCCGCACGTCTCCGTGCGGCAAACTGGCGTCATTTTAACAACCACGCCCCTCCACCGCGCCTCCGCACGGCCCAAACTTTCCGCACCGCGCACCTAGGAAAATTTCTAACCACGCGGACGGTCGGACGCGGAAAAACATGGCGGACCGGCAAGAACTAGTATGGCAGAGGTTCGTAAATACAGACATTTGTATGATTCAGCTCTCAGAGATCACCGTGATCAACATGTTGTTAATAATTCTTGGAGAGAAATAGCTCGCACTGTCGGAAAAGACGAGGACGCTGTTGAAAATGCTGGAATGCCATGTTGTAAACAGTAATTTTTACTTCTACTATGGTGTAGTGTTGGATGCATGCCGTAGAGCTCCATGCTGCCCCCTACAGTTTTGGAGAATAATGGCTCACTGCAGAGACGAGCGGCATGAACCATAAACGCTGCAAGTTGTGAAGCGCGTTCCATCCGCGAGCCGCATCACCAAGCGGAAAGTGAATGCGTCAAGCATAAACCAAGCTTTAGGCTCCCTATAGATGATGCTTTGAGAACACAATGGAGGTCATCTTTGTGACACTAGAGTTTATCATGGTTGGCTTGTTAACGTGAATCCTTAGGACAAAAAGGATTTTATATGCTGAATGTAAAACTGCATCAGCGGGTTTTTACTTTTCTACAACTTCTATGTGAAATGATGAATTATGTCCTCTGTGAGATGTGAGTTGTTTTGTGAACTGAGGTCTACACGTTGTGTTAGTCTCAGGCCTAGTCCACACGTAGCCGGTTTTTTTAAAAACGAATATCCGCCCCTCCAAAAACTTGCATCCACACCACCGCGTTTTGAAAAAAAACTCTGTCCACACGTACCCGGATAAATACGTTGTTAAGGACATGCCAGACCTGTAGGTGGCAGTACTTCCCCCGTTCTTTACCCCGTCCTTCGTCTGTGGTCTTCCGCAAGGAGCAGTAATTCCGCTTGCAAAAACAAACAAGCAAAAAGCGCTTGGGCAATTGATGGATCGGGTAGCGACAGAGCGCAGCTCTGAAGGCTTCCATGATGCCGGCTAGTGTAAACACAGGTCGCACGCGTGATGTTAGCATTTTTTGTCGCGGAAAGTGACGTTGCGGACCTTAAAACTCCGGTTTTGTCCGTCCACACGCAGACACCCAAAACGGAGAAAACGCAGATCTTCACTTTGGCCGGAGTTTTTAAAAAGATCCGTTTTCGTGTGAAAAAACTCCGTTTTCGTGTGAATGACAGGCCAAAACGTAGAAAAATATCTACGTTTTGGCAGATCCCCGGCTACGTGTGGACAGGGCCTGAATTAAAGGCATCAATTCATACAAAACTTTTAAAGTTAAAAAAGGTGAAAAGGTTCAAGAACAGGAGATTTTCTTCTTCTGTGCCAATTTAAAGATGTGCCAATAAACAAACCAAATCCACCACACACTCCACGGCAGAATTCATAAAACATCCCTTCTTCCAGACGTCTGAGGAGAAGGCTTCACATGGTCTATCAGTTTTAGACACTTGATTTGACAACTGTGTTTAGCTTCTTTTCAAAATAAGAAAAGCTGTCAAGTAAAGAAAAATACAGACAGCTGAAAGACTCTATGGAACCAACGGGCTAAGAGGGGCAGCAGAACTGCTGAACGGATCAGGGTGTTTACACCAAATGACTCCAGTCTTTATTTTCAGGTTTTTAAAAGGTAGAGCTGTTCCCAGGCTTTAGAGCAACTTGGACAATTCAGTAAAGGCTGCCGTGGTCACGGTCTAATTTATGGTACAAATAAAACCCGACATCGCCAGTGAAACGATGGAAAGCAACAACACGCTTTGTAAGAGTGGTCCCCTGAAGGCAGTATAAATAGTGGAAAGACTGGACAAAAAATGGGTCCCACAAGTACAATATACTGGAAACAGGCTTCAAAATGAAGATCATTCCCCTAACTGTGGAAAAACCTCAGCTCCGTCAGGTATGACAGGTCAGAACTACAGTAGTAGTAGTAACTAGTAGGAACAAATGAGGCAAAAATAACCACGGATTTCATTTTACTATGTAACATGATCTACTGACTTAAATAAAAATATACCACATATGTTAAAATATAACATATTACTATGCTAGTAAAAATGTGTGTATATATTTATATAAAATCATAGATATAAATGCACCTTCAGTATATATAATGCATTTGATGACTGCATCCTTCTGCGACCTGAGGCTATTTTGCATGAATTTGATTATCCATAAGCTTTCTTCAGATTAATATGATCTCACAGGTGGACATATAGTCTTTGGTTGTTCAACATTAAAATTAAATAAAGTTAAATTGTTTTAAAATGAATTATTAGAAAAGAAAGTACATTCAAAAAAATCTTCCTAAAAACCAAAACCAGGTCCTTCCCCCCTCAGTTAGGTTGAAGTTTACCGACTGACACGCAGGCTGAATTAGCATTTGAGCTAGGCTGGTGTGCTGAGCTGCCTGAGACGTCACGGTGCACTCTGGGGACTGAGGCACACGGTCTGACAGCTCCCCCGTGGTCGACGCTCTAGACTCGTGTAAATGATTCATTTTGCTGCAGAGGCCATGGGAGGGACTTACAGGAAATCATTCTGAAATATTACCTACTTCACATTATAGAACAGGGACAGAAAGTCACATTTTTAAGTAACTTTAACATTTTTAAACTCCGTACTCCAGCTTTAAAACAAAAAAAAAACCTTTCTGGAAACTTTAATCAAAACAAGACACTCTTCATAATACAAGTTATATAAAAATACCTTAAAGCTGAAGAAAGACTCGTGCTTTAAAAAATGCATAAATCAAAGTAAGAACTTCCACTAGCAAAGCTGCAAATGGTAACAGAAAGTTTATCAGCTAGTAAATTGTTCGTAAATTGCGAGAGAACCCGGGTTCAGATCCCGGACGAGCCCCCATTAATGTTACGACTGGTGATGGTATGGGTGAAGGACGTCGTAACATAGAAGGCGCGGGGTCAGGATTTTAAAAGCAAACAGTTTTATAACAAATAAATGACCAAACTCATGCACAGTTACTAGGCCAGTTAAATACAAGAACTAAAGGTGACCTCCTAAATAGGGAAAAACAAGGACTGGAGAGAACACGCAAGCTGGAGCTCAGCTCCACTAATATACTAAACCAATAAGTCAAAAGTAAACTCACCAATTCTGCTATTCCCCCTTTTGGGTTAAAATAGCAAGCAAACTGATTTAGTCCAAACCAACTAAAGGCGAGCACAGGGCTGTTGAGGTAATGGAAACAAAACAGTAATAATTACTAAATCAAAGCGCTTTTGAGCCAACACACCAAAAGCAATACTTATGCTCCACTGAGCACACACAACCAACAGGTTAACTTCAACTCTACAAAGGCTCCACTGAGCAAACACAGGAAGAAGGTTCAAACTAACCTATGTCCTACCTCTATTGAGCACACTCTCCAAAAGTTCCACAGAACTCAGAGTAAAACCAAACTCAATGAAATTACATAGGTTCAAACTAAGTGTGTCTAGATTTCATCCACTCTCTAGGTATTCCCCACTCTTTCTGCCTCCTGGTTCTTCTGGCCGCGCCCTTTTAAAAACTCAGAAGCTGATTAGGGATTGAGCGCAGCTGGAAGGTGGGAAGGAGGAGCAGGAGCGGAGGAGGGGCTGCCCCTCTCTGCAGGGAAGTGGAGCAGGAACAGGAGCAGGTAGAAACTGGTGATCATAACAGAAACATTTCAGTCTCTAAGGTTTTGTAGGAGGAATGTTCAGAAGAAATAAGAATTAAAACAACAACTGAGCACAAATACCGTATTTGTCATCAAGCACACTGGTAAACACTTGGTGATTTAGGCTGTTTGGCAGCGACAGGACCAGAATACCTTACAGTCATTGAGTTGACCACCAACTCCTCTGAATACCAAAGAGTTCAAGTATGAATCCATCTGTTTGACAGCTGAGGTTTGACCCAAAATCAATATTTCAGAGCAGAACAAAAAATATAAAGCACAGCAGCAAATCTACTGCAGCACACCTCAAAAAGTAAAAAACTAAAACAGTCAAAGTCGAAACCTCTGCCTGATTGTAATATTTTGGGGATCTTTAGAGTGCTGCTCTGTAGAAGTGTCGGTAAATTACGATGAAGTAAAGCAATAAGAAACGAGTGGCTAGAAAATCCTTCAGAGAGCCTGAGAAGATCACAGGAAGACAATTAGTGCAGAACTTTGGGTTATTGCTGCTGAAAGTCATTTTACCATTTAATACCAAACCACATGATGTTGAATACCTAAAGGGGACTCAAAGCTGTGTCAATTAGATGTTTTGTGTCCATTGTTTGAGAATACCTGTCTGTGTTTGGCGTAACACCTGTCACCTCACAGGTGGAGTGGTCTTCAGTGGTCAACCAGCTGCCCAGACCCTCCATTTCCTTTACTGGTGCCCCAGAACATCGATCCAAGGTGAAGCGGACTTCCTAAAACGTGCAGAAGTCAAACATTAAAACAAGGATGTGTGTGTTAATGTTGTGAAAGAGAACAAAAGCCTTTTTCCTTAGCATTGTAACGAGTGAACTTGCTGTTTCCACTGGGTTTCGACTGGTGACTCACATTCCTGTGATTGGTGTAAACATTAGCGCTCCACCGCTGCCCGCTGTGTCTTATATTAGTTCTTAAACAACAAGGAGAGTCTGTTTTCCTAGCTTCTGTCCTAACAGGTATTAATAAAGGGAGAGAGAACACATTAATATGTAACTGTGAGTAATAGTATGTACATCTCACCAGAGCTAAAGCTGATTGGCTAAAGTGATGTTTAACAGCAAGTCAACCCCTAACAGTCTTACTTACACATCCTGTTTGAAAAATGCTACTCAGCAGCCAGGTGACCAGGAAGCGTCCCAGTGCACACAGCCATTTTTTTGACGACATATCACTAACTTACACCCCACGGTGGCGTTGCAGCACACATCACACCGTACCGCTTTAGCCAATAGCAATGGCTGATTCACATTTTAATGCAGTGCAAACGTTATATCTGAAGAAGACGCAAACCTGATGGGTCAAGGCTGATTATTTACATTTATATTTTGGATAAGATGCACTAAACTGCCAAAAGAATGATTACGCAAGGGAGAGCTGATTCGAGGCAACAATATCTCCATTTGTCATTGATTTGTATTGGATTAGTGTGGTGACAATCAGCTCGGGACATGGCTGTTGTTCTAGCCACCGCCAGGGACAGCAGGGACAGGTCCCACCAGTTTTCATACCTGACAGTCCATAACAACAATCTAACGTTGCTGTCCACTCACACATTGTTAGAAATGCTGTCAGCAGATTATCAGCTGGTGTTCATTCATCTTAATCCTGAGTGACTCCTGTTTCCAGTGTTGTCTAATAAAAATGGTGGCATTAGGATGTCTGTTTGCAGAGTTAACAAGACAAGCTGTCTCCCTGCACTGTGATCCTCTACAGTACATCGGCTCTGAAGACAAAGTTCACTTGTTTGTCTCTCCTCTGATTGGCTAACAGCAAAACAACTCTACCACTGACTCCGTTTGCTCTGCAACGATTATTATTTATCTCCACAAAAAACACAAGCCTGGAGGAGTGCTGCTGTGTGGTGGGGTTGCTAATGCTAATGATTAGCTTCTAGTAGTTGAGACGTTCTCTGCTGTTTCCTGGAAGCTAAACCAACAACAGCCTTCCTCGTTATGAGTCAAGATGGGTGAGTCTATGAATGTTAAGTGACAATAGCTGCGTTTACATGAGCCAAATTTCCTCAATCCGATTGAAATCTTGGTTGATCGGAATTTCCGAATCTCTGTTCACACGGACACGAACTGAAATGATCCGATCATGCCGTGCGTACATATGCACCAAGCATTTAATCTGATTAAATAGGTTGAGCATGCGCAGAGTTGCCTTTCCCGAAAGAAAAATTGGAAACAAACGCCATGAAACGAAATGAAAAATGTAAAACCAGAAATAACTATTCTTCCTGCTTTCCTGATCCATTTATTCAATTTAATATTTTTATTTAGCTCATAGAAGTTACGTTTTCCTCAGTGAATAACTGCAGATATATGCTTTGCTGCATTTTATTGTTGATTAAAATAAGGGAGGGTTATGTTTCTGCCTCTTGATCAGCTGTCCGCGGGTCTGAAGTGACAGCTGTGCTGTTGCGCTGCGGCACGGAGCGGGGGTGGGGTGGGGGGTTGGACTCATGTTTTATTACTGAGCTCTGTTGTGGCTCATTATTAATAACATGCGACAATCAGCTGAAACTGTTGAGAAAAATCTGTTCAAACAAAATAACAGAAGATGTTCAGAAAGTTTAGCAGCCTGTGTTCATCATCAACGAACCGCATCTCAGGTCATCTGCGTTTACGTGCTTCTAACACGGACTTTACTGTCGTCCAGAGTATTTAACCGAGGACGCTTTCCTACCCAACATCAGCCTCCAGTCAGGTCTGTAAAACCCAGATTATCCTGTCTTCTTTACAAGCGCGTCTCCATCACCTGCTGCAGAAGCTGCTGGTTCAAAGCTGACAGAAACGGGGATCCGTGCGCTGCAACCCCCGCAATAAACCTGCGTAATAAACCTGCGTATTTTCAGTACAGATTTGAACATGCTTGTCGAATGATTTGTGCAATAATCAGATTTTTATTTAACTTCCACAAAATGCAAGTTCTGAATTAAATATTACTGAAAGGGGACGGCTTGTCGTCGGATTTAAAAGCCGCCGCTCGTTAATTACACCGTCATTTTTGAAGTCAGGCAGTCCAAATGACAGCGGAGAGGCCCGCTCGCTGTTGCACACATGCGCAGTGGGCATTATTTTACCCCAACAATCCGAAGGACTGTGTACATGCACGTCAATCGGAATGAAGAACGGAATAAACCACCTCTCTCAATCGGATTGAAATTTCAATCCAATCGGGCCGAATCGGATCAGAATATTCCGATTGACATGTTTACTTGCAGAATTTTCGATCTGATTGGGCATTCAATCCGATTAAATATGCGCATGTAAACGTGGCTAGTGTGACATAGATTTTCCTGACCTGAGTGTTTTTCTAACAACGGTTAGTGCAGCAAAACGGCATAGAGGACCATTTTCAATTTCGGCTAGCATTTGAAAGAGTAGTCTATAACATTCCAAAAATGACCGGTGAAACACTGTTTTTAAGTGAACTTGGCCTTTAAAGTGACAGTGAGTATTTTTCCTGCCGATAGGGGGCAGTGCATACCTAAAACATTGCAAGGAAGTATTATTTTTGTGTTAAAATAAGACCTTACCAACGGATGGCCATTAGGGTCAAAAATCCCTGGGAGTGCAACCTCTAGCAAAATAACAAGATCATCAGATTCCCTTTCGTCACCGGCAACGAGTGAAGAGGTAAATGTGTAAAGCAACAATGTTTATTAATGGTGAAAGTTTTGTAACCATTTGTTACAAATCAGTAAACACATTATGTCCTCACGGGTTTCCGTAGAAGGAAACATGGAATCCCGTATGGCGTCGCTCAGAGACTTAGGGTGTTTCTCAATGCCAAGGAACCTTGATGTCTTGGTCCCGCCCCGGTTGCCTAGGAGATACGTCATCAGGAACCACCAAGGCCTGTTCCAATGCTCATGTTCTACCGAGGCATCTGTTTTCAACATTTCTGTCATGAGCCGGGGTGAGTACTCCTCTCAACTTTCCTCCTTTGAGTTGTGTGTTGCAGGAGAGGGAGTTTCCCAGCTGCACCTGGTTAGCCACTAGTGGGTCAGCTACTTAAGGAGGACGGAGAACACACCACAACGCCGGATGATTGCTACAGCTTGGTAGTTTCCAGCCCTCCTCGTGCTACTTGGTTTGGATACTCTAGTGTTTGTGAACTTTGTGATTTTTGGATTTTGTGATTACCTGCCTTCAGGTTTTTGGACATCTCAGGAAACAGCTCCATAGGATTTCTGGACTCAGCCCCTGATACGTTCTCCATCCATCCCGACCGACCCACTCTCCTGCTCACCTCACGCTCCCTCTCCTGGACCCCCCTCATTCCTGTCCATCTCCTCAACTCCCACTAAGTCTTTTCTCTGCACCTTCCTAGTTAAGACTTACCTCCCTGACTCACCTGTATTTGCTCTCCCCTCCCCAGACGCTGCGCTCCCGTTCTCAATCCCACTGGACTTCCCAGTGCACCTTCAGTTCCCCGTTTTCAATAAATATATATTATTTTCCATCCTTCTGTGTTCGGGTTGTGATTCTGCATGTCTTGGGTTAGACGAATTCCCCAGACCATGACAGTTTCAATGGATATTTCCAGAGATTAATGGTAAAAACTACACATTGTCACTTTAGTAGCGATGCACTCGGGGTCTTCAAATCAGGGCTGTAAAATATTTCAGCTTCTGTTAAAAATACAAGAAAGGTAAACATACTCTTGTTTGAATTGGAATATAATTCAAAATAATTGTAACAATCAAAGTCAGAGCGTCTGATCAGTCATGCTGTTTAAATATCAGAATCAGAATAACCTTTATTGTCATGGCAACAAGTACAAGGAAATTAGATGCAATCCCCGTGAACGAAAATGAATTTACATGAGATGAACAAATAATATAAAAACAATAAAAATAATCTAAAAATATACGTAAAATAGAATAAAATAGGAGAGCAACACTGCTCATATTGAGATCATGTTGAGCGAATGTGCCTAATAGATAATTCTAACACTGATGACACACTGACCTTGAAGCAGTTGCTTTTCCTTTCATTCAAAAGAAACGAAGACACAAAGGATAAATGTGTGGATCTGAACTCTACAGTTAGACAAATGCATTTTGTCTTCCTTTCACCACACCACCCCTTCCTTTCACCACATCACCCCGGTTCTCCAGCAGCTTCACTGGCTCCCAGTTAAATTCAGGTCCATCTTCAAAATTCTCCTCCATACCTTCAAAGCTATCCACAACCTCTCTCCTCCATATATCTCAGACCTTATAAGTATTCACACCCCATCCCGTTCACTCAGATCATCTTCTTCCATCCATCTTGCGGTTCCTTCTGCCCGTCTCGCTACCATGGGGAGCAGAGCTTTCAGCCGCTCTGCTCCCCGTCTCTGGAACTCACTTCCCCCAGACATCAGGAACATCGACAGTTTTACCCTTTTCCAATCAAAACTCAAAACACATATGTTTAAATCTGCCTACAACCTCTGATTTTATTGAACTGTTTCTCTCTTTGTTTTTTCTTGTTTGGGTTTTATTATTGTTTTATTGTATTTTATTACGTGTTTTCTGTAAATTGACCTTGGGTGTCCTGAAAGGCGCTTTGAAATAAAATGTATTATTATTATTATTATTATTATTATTATTTTAGAGGTGAATTAGACCAGATTCACAAATGACTGAGGGTTCTTAAAGTAGTTGGTCTGCACTTGAATGTCATTTAAACACATCTAACCAGTAAAAAAAAGCACTAACTAAAGTAAAATGTGATTTGTAACCATCCACTTCAGGTTTGTGAAACTTTAGCCTGTGCTAGCCATGCACACGTGTTTATCCTGTATTAGACGGGAGCCGACAAACATCTGACTCAGTCCTGTAATTGTACTGAACTGAAGCCTCTACACGATGTGAGGATGAAAGGCGGCAGAGATGAAGCCTGTCCAGCTGCTCTTATGTCCTCTGCTCAAAGAAAGACGGTGTAGAGCTGGAAGCTGTCAAAATGGGTTATATGGGCTTTTAAAAACAGGGCTTTCAAAAGTCTTGTTGATGTTTAAGAGAAGAATCAAACTTTAGGGAAGTGGTTGTGGGTGAATTCTGGCAGGAAAAAGCTTCAGGTGGTTTTAGTCAAACAAAGATGAGCTGATTTTAGCTTAACTCACTTGAAATGTTCCAAAGCTGAAGTGTTAAAGGACGACTAAAGCAGTCATTCGTCTCACGCGTCCTACAATTACCTCCCTTTCTACCGTACAGTTCAGACGGCTTTATGAGAGTCAATCACTCCATCACTCATATTTGGATGGTATAAATTAGTCACATGTATGCGATGTCACTGGCGTGTTGGCTAAAGGCGCAACTTCCAGATAGATGAATGGAGACCATAGGAAACAGTGGGCACAGCATACTGCATCTAACCTTGTGTGTGTGTGTGTGTGTGTGTGTATTCTATATCAATAGCTTAAATGTGATATTTGTCTCACATATTACTGCAACAATGTAACTAAATTAAACTACTTAGAGTTACTTTAGAGATGTCGAAAAGTACTTTTCATTTAACACAAGGGCCAGTTGAGGTGGTTTGGGCATCTGGTCAGGATGCCTCCTGGACGCCTCCCTGGGGAGGTGTTTCGGGCACGTCCTGCCGGCAGGAGGCCCCCAGGTCGACCCAGGACACGTTGGAGAGGTTACATCTCCAATCTGGTCCGGGAACGCCTTGGGGTCCTGCCGGAGGAGCTGGTGGAGGTGGCCGGTGAGAGGACAGTCTGGAGCTCCCTAGTTGGGATGCTGCCCCCGCGACCCGGACCCGGATAAGCGGAGGAAGACGACAACAAGAGTGACGACTAAAGTCTGAATTTTCCTCCTAATTTGAATAAACCTGAAGTCACTCGAGCCTTTGCGTCTGCTTGGTGAGCATGACATATTTTTCCTGCTTTCTCAAAAATAATCATAAGTAGTCTATAATTTCTAATGCGAGCTACAGGCTGTGCACCCTGGATCTTCTTTTACAGCGTCTGACACCTTATGACTACTTCCATTAGTTGGTCGTATGCACAACCAGCTCATCCATACTCTTAACTGCTCGACCACGCTGCTCTGTCATGTCTCCCCACACTGGCTGGCTAGGGAAAGCTACTATGAGCATCAAGCTATCTCACACCAGTAGTTTACTATCTGTTTGAGTTTGACGCGTTTTCATGTGTGCGCCTATAAAAAACATTTTAAAGCTCTTATAACTGTTTTAAACTACGTACTGAAACAGCAACGACTAATGTATCCGACATGTTTCTGTAAATGACTCAGTGTTACGATCCACCAGCGCAATCAGTCCTATGGACAGCTGAGTCCTTCAGGGGAACTTCTGAGTTAAAAACTGCTCATGAAGTACGTATGTGGAGCAACCGGGTAGGTCGGTTTTAACGTTGCACATCTGCAACGCCTGCCTGCAGAGGGATAAACACCTGAAGAACTTGGGCTGAATTAAAGCTGGAGCTTGCAACAGAAGCTACTTCCGGGTCTCCCAGCAGCCACAGTGGGTCCACTGGTGCTGTTCTGTGCTCAGGCTCAACTTCTTTGGAGAGAACATTTAGCTTACTATGTGGAAACAAACTTCCTCTTTTATTTAAAGATTTGGATTATTAGTTCAGTAACGCATTTTCATCCTATAATATCTAGGTCAAGTTACTTAAAGAGCAACAGAAGCATCATCTTACCTTGTACGTAAGCAGAAAACCAATTCTGCACCACTTCACTGACGTCCCTGATGGATTCAGTTCTCACCATGAATCTTTAAGCATCTGAACTCTGCCAAGAAGCATTCGAGGAGCGCTAACTGCTCAATGTTCCATCATAAGTGTCCGACTGCCTAAGGACTCGATTGAGTCCAAAGCTGGTGGGTCGACATTCGGGAGTATGAAACCACCACCTCACTGAAGTTGTATGTTGCACAGAAACAAACTCTGCATCTGCATCATCTACTGTGTGATCAATGGCTGCTACAGAAAGGTATCTTCTGCAGCTGGTGGCTGCTCATATTCAACATCTCCATACATGTATGGATACAGACGTTACAAATATTTATCACCTGCTATGTGTTTTGCTTTAATTAGGATATATTGGGAGGGTTTTATTTTTTAAATAAAATAATTATCTGTGGGAAATATTAGAAAACCAGATGGGCTGCAGCTGTATATAAATAAAGTAAATGTATAAATGAGGACGTGCCGGCTGAATAAGCAGCAGCCGGTGTTTTAGGGACGATGTGTCTCACCTTGCTGTTGCTGCGGACGTCCAGGCGGTGCCAGCGCCTGTCTGCCACATTGATGTTCCCTGGCAACTGTAGCACCAGTGTACCGGAGCCGTGGTTGATCTTTAAGGTGGGGGTTCCGTCTATTAGCTCTGGATGGAGAGACAGGAAGAACTGTGAAGGAGAGTGCATGACTTCCTTTGTTTTTAGGACAAGAAAAGAAAAACAGAACCATTTAAACCGCTGCAACTAATGCGAGAAACAGAATTAGAACGGTGTGAAGTTGCCTTGAACGAGAGAACGCACCACGACACGACTGCTGGTGTTGCTAGCTTGATGAGGATTATTGCACCAAAGCTGCTGTGATGCTATTTTTCTGCTTTCTTTGTGGCAGTTCCCAAACATGAAACAAAAGTTATAGCCTTCTATTTTCTGATTTACTCAAATGGGAAATTAAAAATTAATGAAGTGGTTAAGAAAGTGTGTGTGCTCTGCACCATATGTAAAGAATAGACATGTCTTCCAGCTGACACTGACAATCCATCATCATGGATCCTGAACCTTTAAAGCTCACGAGGACCCAAAAGAACTAACAGAAAAGTTTGAGATTTGTTTCACATTTACGCACGCGCCGCTTAACTTTGGCTACGTTCTACAAAGCCGAGCGTTTTCTGTCGGTGGCTAATGCAGGAAATGGGGTGGACGACTTGAGAGAGGGGCTGTGTGAGTGTTTAATAAACTGTTTCGTTGTGTTGTTTTCATTTGTAGCGTGATGAATTATCCATGTCTGACCTGAAAGGTCCGGCTCTGTTTTGCTCTGCTCAAAGCAAAACCAGAAGTCTCTGACACAAACCTAATCTGCATGAGATATTGCTCAAGGTCTCATGCATCTGCTTCTAAACTGTTTCTTCCTTTCCAGCTCAAGAGAAGAATGAAGACAAAGAACTCTTTCTTTTAACAAATCAGAAGAACTCTATTTTTAATAAGCTAATCAAACAAAGCGTTAGTCAATAATAAAACGTGAACCAATCTGTGAAATGACAATGTTTATGATCAGTAGTATTATAATAAGTAATATACTTTAAATGTTTCCACTAGAGACTGATCACACGTAATGCTAAGAATCACATGACACATTTCCTTTTGCTGATCCAATCAGAGCCTTCAAGATCTGATGTGGGGCGTGGTTTTGTTGGTGCTCGGTAAATCCCCTCTTGTTGTCCTTTTCTGATTCGACCGTAAATCAAAACATCCAAATTATAAAACTATGCCCACATCACCTTAACTTCAGTTCAAAGCGTTCTAGAGAAGTTGTCGGATTGGCCAATCCCCAACTCTCCTCTTCAGTCGAAAGAACCAACGACAAGCTGGATAAAATCTGTTGCATGTTCCACCTGCTGCAACGGTTCCTTTCAGAATAAAAGCTGAACCATCACGACCCCCTTTTTGGGTCTTGCATGATGCCAATAAACCTGTCGTGACCTGGAAGTATCTCAAGACTGGTCTGGTCGGCAACCGCTGCTTTTTCTACCGGCTTCGGTTCCAGAGAAGGTCAAGCTGGACCTCGACATTCCTGATCTAACGGGGACTTCTGCCAAGGGTACGTAGACCGGCAGAATGGCGTCTCAATGTGTGTTATAAATCTCCGAACCAAAGCTTAGAGCGAAACATCTTCACTCCCATCAGAACTGATCGTTTCTCTGGATCTGCTGGTTCTGAACATTTCACACATACACCATCCTCAGTCTTACTTCACCTTAGTTACACCATACATTTAGTGTTTAAAGTTAGTCTAGTTTTAATTTGTTTAGTAATAAATCTTTAAACTTTTGAAACTTGACTCTCTCTCTTTTCTTGAAGTTAATATGAAGTGTTGCTCAATCCCTGCAATAAAAAGATCTAATCTTCTGATTAAATTTACTTAAAGATCCATTAAGGTGATATTTCACATTTTATGGTTTCTAATTAAATGTAGGAACATCTTCTCTACACATTAGTGTAAAAATGTTCTGTTGTTTTGAATTTAATTTGATTGTGAATGACAAATCATAATACATTTAAACCTGTGCATGCAATTTTTGTACATTTTATAATCATTTCCCTCTGGAAAGTTCTGTTTCACATCACTCGTGAAACGTCAGACGAGTGCATGTGAACCTCTAACTGCATCACCAGCTCTTTACCTTCATTTGAGAACAACTTGAGGCGTGCTCATGATAACCGCACCCCCACTGGTGCCTATCCCCAGCGGTCAATGGGCAATCAGGCGGGTTACACCCTGGACAGAGAGCCAGTCCATCGCAGGGCGACACACACACACACACACACACACACACACACACACACACACACACACACACACACACCTAAGGACAATTTGGACAGACCAATCAACCTAACAGTCATGTTTTTGGACTGTGGGAGGAAGCCGGAGTACCCGGAGAGAACCCACGCATGCACAGGGAGAACATGCAAACTGCTTGTAGAAAGATCCCAGGCCGGGAATCGAACCCAGGACCTTCTTGCTTCAAGGCAACAGCTCTAACCACTGCGCCACTGCGCAGCCCTGTTGATATCCAGAGGAAGTCATAAAAAAATAACCCGAGTCAATGCTACTGCAACTAACATGCTCAAATTATGTCTTGATGTCTGTTCAGCTAAAATTAATTGATGGCGTCTAAATTCATGCCCAGTAGCGTTTAGCATTGCTTCTCATGTTCCGACAACCCAGAAAACTTGAGCATTTTGAGAAATCCCTTTTGGTCGTTTCCTGGTAAACTGCACCACACAATGCAGACAGTTCAGTTCTGTAGAGTAAGAATAACCACTGAGAAGAGTGTGTGTGAGTCTGGCTAACCCCTACACTCCTACATTTGTCTTAATGCACCAATCAGTAGCCGTCAGAAGACAAAAGAGGCTGCTGAAAATCGAACTTCCCTCTTGCTGCATTAACTTCTCTGTGCATCTGAGTGCAGCAGAGCTTTCTTCATCCCTCCTAAATCACCTCTTGCTCTGCCCATGTGTCTATCAGCAGCCTTTCATCTCCTGCCTCTCAGTTTTACCTCCCGCCTCGCTTCATTCCTTCATTACCTTCTTTCACTGAAACAGACATTTTGCATTGAACTGCTTTCAGAAAGTGCACTAATGCTTTCTTCCCACATTTCACATTATACTGCACTTGTGGAAAACAGATGTTTCCTATGCGTCCTAGCCACGAAAGGCGCTGACCTGAGTTGAGACTAAGGCCCTGTCCACACGTAGCCGGGGATCTGCCAAAACGTAGATATTTTTCTACGTTTTGGCCCGTCATCCACATGAAAACGGAGTTTTTTCACACGAAAACGGATCTTTTTCAAAACTCCGGCCAAAGTGAAGATCTGCGTTTTCTCCGTTTTGGGTGTCTGCGTGTGGACGGACTAAACCGGAGTTTTAAGGTCCGCAACGTCACTTTCCGCGACAAAAAAATGCTGACATCACGTGTGCGACCTGTGTTTACACTAGCCGACATCATGGAAGCCCTCAGAGCTGCGCTCGCTTCATCAATTGTCCAAGCGCTTTTTGCTTGTTTGTGTTTGCAAGCGGAATTACTGCTCCTTGTGGAAGACCACAGACGAAGGACGAGGTTAAGAACGGGGGAAGTACTGCCGCCTACAGGCCTGGCATGTCCTTAACAACGTATTTATCCGGGTACGTGTGGACAGAGTTTTTTTTAAATGAGGTGGTGTGGATGCAAGTTTCTGGAGGGGCGGATAATCTCTTTTAAAACAACCCGGCTACGTGTGGACTAGGCCTTAGTGGGCGCCTTCTTCATGACAGGAATCCTACTGCAGCATCACCTTGAGCTAAATGTAATAATGTGTCACTGAGGAAATTAGGAGTATCTGTGCTGTGGTGGCAGAGTTGCATCTTTTTAAGCACGTTTAGCATTCTGCCTCTCGTGTGTAGTAGGAGTAAAACAGCAAATCCCTGACAGAGTCATGGTTTCTAATCCAGGGTGAACACGAGCTAACTTCTCTGTTCCTCTCAACTCTCCCTCTCCTGCAGGTTGACTCTGCTCGCTTTAACAGCAGAGCCGCTGCTACGTATCAGAACTAATCCAGTTCATTTTAATATTGAAGCTGAGCCTAGGAAACTGACTGAGAAAAACTGTAAGTGTATTATTTCACCCATTTGTCTAGCTTACATGGTGTTGCCTGTACACGCGACTCGTTTCTCATTTACCTAATTGATTTCACTCTCTTCCACTGTCCCGCCTGTGACCCTTGACCTGATTTCCATCACAGATACCCTATCCTCAGCATTCTCCATTACTCCAGACACATTTGTGTCAAATGCCACATAAACAAATGTGTGAGTCTAACTGAGAGAGGAGGGGCACTTGTGCACGATTACAAAAAAGTCAAATAGAATATTTACTAAGAAATCACAATGTAACTATAGACACATTACTTGTCTTTGTGTGTGCGTGTGTGTGTGTGTGTGTGTGTGTGTGTGTGTGTGTGTGTGTGTGTGTGTGTGTGTGTGTGTGTGTGTGTGTGTGTGTGCGTGCAACACATTCTCACTACCAGCGCGTCAAAAACAAACGCTTGGTCAGCCACCCTCCCTGTCAGACCCCTGATGCGAAAAATGCCCTTTTTCGTCATTTATGTGCGAAAAAGGTTGTGTGTGTGTGTGTGTGTGTGTGTGTGTGTGTGTGTGTGTGTGTGTGTGTGTGTCGTGGAGGATGGCTGCTTATACTGAGCCAGGATTCTCTGGAGGTTTCTTCCTGTTAAAAGGGAGTTTTCCTCTCCACTGTCGCTACATGCTTGCTTCACTACACATGCTTGCTCCACTGCATGCTTGCTTAGTATGAGGATTGCTGTAAAGACTCTGACACTAGTCAAGTGACTTGATGCAATTTGCTGGGTTCCTTTTATAGGAAACATTATTTCTGATTGGCTTAATGAACTGACCTGTATCGGAATGTTTATTATGTGAAGTGCCTTGAGACGACTCTTGTCGTGATTTGGCGCTTTATAAATAAAATCGAATTGAATTGAAGATGGCAGTAAGACGCCTTGGTCAGGGCTACTCAGACCAGCTGAGTAGACTGTCCTCCACAAGATCAGGATCAGAACACACAACCGTCTTCCTGTGTTTTTTTCTTCTGGAA